CTAAAAAATAGGAATAGGGAAGAGGCTGGGAATAGGCTGGGAATAGGCTGGGAATAGGCTGGGATACTGAATAATTATTTTATTTTTTTTTATTCATGTTTTATTGTATCTCCTTTACTGATTTAACTGATTGTGGGTTTTTTTTTTTTTTTTGGTGTGTGTTTGAGGAGTTTTTGTTTTGTGATTTAGCGAGGTTTATCGTAGTTAATTATGATTGTTTAATTAGATCTTGTTTTTTTTTTTAGTTTGTGTTTCGATGTTTACAAATTGCCCGTTTTCTTTGATGGTTATACAGATGGTGGAATAATAAGTCATACCTTAAATCAGGATATTCCCGAATGGTTTTTAGTCTCTCTCTTTCTCTCTCTCTCTCTCTCCTCGCCGGGTCGCCACCTTATCGCCAGCATGCCCGTGGCCCGCTATCCCTTAAGTCACTCCCCGCAACACACGGATTAATGTTCCCTCCATCCTGACCACAAGGAGGGAGGGAAGGAGGTGGTGGTGGGAGGTAAGGAGGGAAGGAGGTGGTGGTGGGAGGGAAGGAGGTGGTGGTGGGAGGGAAGGAGGTTGGTGGTGGGAGGGAAGGAGGGAAGGAGGTGGTGGTGGGAGGGAAGGGGGAGGGTAGTATTAAAACATCGGGATCTCACTCACTCACCCACTCACTCACTCACTCACCCACTCACTCACTCACTCACTCACTCCCTCACGTACTCCTATTAATGAGAGGCAACACTAAATAAACACTCACATTATTTACACACACAAATAGAGTTAAGATTATATACATGTTACTATAGGAGTTATTTACATACATTGAGACTGTTATTTACTAGACAATTATTGGTTATTAAATATTATATAACCACCACCATTAACTACCACTACTACCACCACCACCACCCCTACCACCACTACTACCACCACTACCACCACTACCACCACTACCACTACTACCACACACACACCACCACCACCACTACCACCACTACCACCACCACCACACACCACCACCACCACCACTACCTGCATTAACTACCACTACTACCACCACCACCACCCCTACCACCAATACTACCCACCACTACCACCACTACCACTACTACCACCACCACCACCACCACTACTGCCACCACTACCACCACCAACACCACCACCACCACTACCACCACCACTACCACCACCACCACCACCACCACCACCACCACCACCACCACCACACCACCACCACCCACCCTACTACCACCACTACCACCACCACCACTACCACCACTACCACCACCACCACCACCACTACCACCACCACCACCATATTACACATTCCTAAGGGTCATATTGCCTCTCGTACTTGTATGTTATGTGTACTTGGTGACGCACTCATGTACACATATTACCGCACATGGCTTATTATACGTACATGATTTTTGAAATAGGTTAATAACAGTGTGATTGTGGTGTTGTGTTACGATATGTATTTAGCACCTACTGATTATCGTATTAATAATTATATAGTGGTTTTTTACTTACACACACACATATACACGTACACACGTACACACGTACACACACACACACACACACACACACACAAACACAAATTAAACCGCAATTAATATATTCACCGTAATTCTGGGACCCACATATTCTCAGAGATTATCACCACGATTCTCCCCTCCTAACCTAGACCTAACCTTAACCTAACTTAACCTAGACCTAACCTTAACCTAACTTAACCTAGACCTAACCTAACTGAAGATAAGAGAACGTCACTAGTCACAGTACAGTCTCACCGCAGCCTTGACGCCATCTTGGATTTGTCGTTAGGTTAGGTTAGGTTAGGTTACGTTAGGTTACGTTAGGTTAGGTTAAGTTAGATTATTGTTAGGTTAGGTTAGGTTAAGTTAGATTATTGTTAGGTTAGGTTAAGTTAGATTATTGTTAGGTTAGGTTAAGTTAGATTATTGTTAGGTTAGGTCCAGTTACAGTAAATATTAAGGCCGCCAGTGTAATATGTGCCGACTGAATAATAATGAGAAGGACTGAATCCAAAATGGCGCCTCGCATCATTTGTTCATTAGTCGACCCAGATTCTTACAACTGATCACTATTAATGCCTATCTTAATTAACAACTCTATTACGTGAGGGAGAGAGAGAGGGAGGGGGTGGGGGAGGTAGAGGGGAGAGTGGAGGGGAGAGAGAGAGGGAGAGAGAGAGGGAGGGAGGGAGGGAGGGAGGGAGGGAAGGAGGGAGGGGCGTGAGAGATAGATAGATAGATAGATAGATAGATAGATAGATAGATAGAAAGATAGATAGATAGAAAGATAGATAGATAGATAGATAGATAAAAGGAACAGTTTAAATTAAAACGACTTTGTATGTATTCTCTCTAACAACGACAAAGATACAGACAGACAGACAGACAGACAGAGTTACACACGACCATTACAGCCTCACAGTATCCCTAGTAAACCACTGATCAATACACTAATCGTTACGTCATCACACACCATGTCAGTATATACAGTATAACACCACCCTAGTGATGCTGGCAGATTATACACACTACATATATACATTATAGGTGGATAATTATTAAATATAAATTATGACACACATTTGTATAATTAATTCCACTCTACCTCACCACACATTACATATATATATATATATATATATATATATATATATATATATATATATATATATATATATATATATATATATATATATATATATATATATATGCAAATAAATCACTGTAGGTGCGCGTAATCCAGGTATATGCTGATAACCACAAGGAAAAAGAAAACACGAAGTTCCCAAGCGCTTTCGTGTATTTCACATCTTCAGGGATGAGTACAAACTCACCCCTGAAGATGTGAATTACACGAAAGCGCTTGGGAACTTCGTGTTTTCTTTTTCCTTGTGGTTATCAGCATATATATATATATATATATATATATATATATATATATATATATATATATATATATATATATATATATATATATATATATATATATATATATATATATATATATATATATATACAGTATATATACACGTTTGATTATATGTGTATTAATATGTATATCAGCTATATATAACTCCACATATATGTAGTGATAATATATGTACATTATTATACATATAGGAATTAATACTCAATTTATACATGCAATACCTCACGTATACATCAATAAACATAAAATAACAATAAAACTAATAAATACAAAATACATAAATATCTAAAAATATATAAAAATAGCAACTACATATTTGTAATGAGTGATTATCAGACCATAGCTTACAAGCCCAGAGAAGTATAACACATATAACAGAGAGTGTGTAGAGACCTCGTGGTACCTGAACATACCAGGTGGACACACCCCAAGGCCCAAGGGACCTGACCTTATGACTTGAGTTAGCCGGGTGGCCTGACCTACCAAGACACACCTGGGCATGACTACACCTGGGCACAGCTGTACAGATCTAACCAGTTTAGTGTTAATTGGCTAAGGTCAAACACCGGCTGTGAGCGCCCATATAAAGGCTAGGCAGTCCTGCCCACGGGATCATTCTTATTCTGGTTGCTATTCGGCTCATTCAGCTCATTCTGGTCATTGGTCATTGAGAGGTCATCTTGGTCACTCACCCAGAGTCACGCTCTTCCTCCCCCCAGGTCGGGGGGGGGTAGACTTCCCGACGTCACAGGCTAAGCAGAGTCACAGCCAAGCACCCACTGGGCCAACGTCGGGGTACACGTGAGTCTTGTCAGAACTATTCCTAGGGTGAGTTACCTACTGTGGGAAGTGTATTCATTCATGTTGTGTCTGAGAGTCAGTGTCGAGTAACGTAACATAATGTGCTAATACCCGGATATAATAATGATATTAACGTGTCCATGTCATTGTGTGAATTAATAAATAGTTGTATCAAAGTGGTGTTTGAGAAGTTGTCCCTTCAGAACGTGACTACTATATGTGTATTGACATATAAGATAAGTGTATTGACTCAGAGAAAATAACATCCCGGCCAGCTACCAAGCTTCTTATCTTTACATTACTACTCTCTATACTTCTACCTTTATGTAATCCTCTTCTGGTGAGTATTGTCTCATTATATATTTGTTAACTAGGTCCCTCGGTTAACGAATTACCTTCCATTAGAATCTTCAATTCGGTTTACGAACAAAAATTCGATTAACGAAATCCTTCCGAAAATCACGTTTTGTTGTGAGCATCAACTGATGGGCTACTTTGCCAATTCAGTAATCTGTTCTATGTTTACATTCATTTCCAATGGAGCAAATATCAATAAAGTTGTGCTATTTAATATTTTTGCATGTTTTATATTAAAATTATTAGTCATTTTAACATTTATTTAACATATTGATATTATATGCAGTACTGGGAACTAGTTTGTTGTGCGCCCATCAGATGCTTGAGTCGGTCACAAGGCGTCAGTTGAGACTTTGAAAACAGTGGAGAGTGCATCTATTATGTTAGTGTCTTGAATATTTTTGCATTTTTCATTGAAATTATTGGTCATTCTGAACTTTAGTTAACATATTGATAATATATAGCGCAGTGCAGTGCTGATTTAAAGAAAAAATAATCTTGAATTACACCTAATGAACTTAAAATTTTATTGGTGAAATGACTGCATCAAGCATGGGTCCACTGAAAAGTGATTTCTCCTCCATCCCCACTTCCTTCTTTTCTCCCTTCTCCTCCACCCCACTTCTAATTCCCATTATCATCATCATCAACCAGGAACCTTCTACATACACACCTCAAAGTAAGTGTACTTTACTGCATTTTTTCTTTTACTTTGTATGTACATTTCTGTGAGCTGGAACCAATTACCCAATATCCCATTGAAACAATGGATTCGGTTAACGAAATTTTCGGTTAACGAATGACCTTCTGGAAAGAATTGTGTTTGTTATTTATAGATTCTCGACAGCTGATGTAAACTTATTAGACTCAACAGAACTTACCTTTAACGCTGGTCAGTGACGTCACATCTTGTAAACACAGGGAGAAGGCCAGGAGGATGTACCTGCCTGCCCATTGGCTGGCTGGGGCCGCTAACGTCACCCCGGGCCAGCCAATCATAGCTCTACTTGACGACTTTCAAATTTCCAAGCAAAGTTACAATTAGTATTTCCGTAACCTAATTCTCTTTCATCTATCCTCTACGTCCTTTTCCTGTATTCTGTTATTGTATTTTCTCCATATTGCCATAGTGTTATTATTATACTCTGATCATCATTGTTTATTTAGAATTAGTCTTATAAGATACGGATATTATTTCGTCATATCCAAAACTGTACTTAGATCTAAAATACACAAAATTAAATAATAAAAAAATTATTATATCTAATTTAAATAATAATCGATCTTTTTTTATACTGACAACGTTAATATGATCAGTTTATAAGAGATAAGATTGACTGGTAACTGTGTTTTTCTGCAGTTACGTCACGGTGTGTGTAGCCAATCAGAGGAGTTCTCTCGCTCATCTGTAAACAAAAGAGAAATTTGATTAGATGGATTTCCTTGATATGTTATTGTTGTCATTATTATTATTATTATTATTATTATTATTATTTCTATTAATCTTATCATTTAAATAATCATAACATACATTATTTCATCTCTTTACAGAAACCTTCACACATCACCGTAATTAACGCTTTATGAGCTGTGAGCGTTAATTAGGGTAGAAGCTTGAGAGTATAACTAGCTTCTTGGAGCACACACACACACACACGTCTTGTATGGCTGAGAGACGGGAGACAGACTGGCCACATTACCACAAGCTGGATACAAATTGCTGATCGCGCACTATCAAAATACCCAGTTGACGACCACACACGGCTCATAGGCTAGTTACAGCGGGTGATGTAATGATATAAACCTACTGTATATAACCCACATGTATTACTGTGTGTATTAACTGGTCACATTAATACACCGTTTATATTATTATGTTGTGTATGAGGCGTGATCGGGCAGCTGTTCTCTGGCCGGCAAATAAAACTGTGGGCACCCAATTTGTACTTCAAATTGAGTGGGAGAGGGAGGAGAGGGGAGATAAGAGGGAAGGAGTATGAGAATGGGAAGAAATGAGAGGGAGAAATGGATGAGAGAAGGAAGGAAATGAAGATAGGAGAAAGGATGGAGAGATGAATTGGTGGAAGAAGGAAGGGGAGGAAAAAGAAGAGGAAGGGAAGGGAGATGAGAGAGAAAGAAAGGAGGAGGAGGAAGAGATGGAGGGAAGGAGGATGGAAGAGAAAGGAAGGAGTGTAAGAGGGAGGAAAGAGGAGGAGGAGGAACTGAGAATGAGAGAGAAGTGAGGATGGAAGAGGAGGAGGAAGGGGGAAGAAGAATGAGGAACAGAATGAGATAAATAGAGAGATAGAAATAAACTACTCTCTCTCTCTGTTCCATCTGTTCCATCACCCTATTTTCCATACAAGTGAACGAGTTTCTCTTTTAGTTTACAATTATACAGAAACAACAACAACACAACCCGTAATTAGCTTCCCCTAGAGTTAATACATGTGTAGACGTGTTAATGTTTGTTTACAATTAGTTGCAGGGACACACACACACACACACACACACACACAAACCTGAAACAATTCTACCCTTTTGATTCGCTAGTATACAACCCTGACAAATATACACACACATATAGAAAAAATAACACAACCCATTTTTATCATCATAATTCACCACAACACAACCCTGAATTATACAAACATACACCCAAATACCTTATAATAAGACTCTGATATCATTCTCATTGTGTGAATAATATAACCTGAATATATGGTCCACTTTGCAACACGTTCATTTTTCCGGTTCACATTGCGTTTAAATGAGGTGGGTGCTGGTGTAATTTATATGAGGGTTGGTTATGATGTCTTGTAGGCTGTTATGCTAAGAGGTAATGGTTCCGGGTAATGGATTAGAGAGAGAGAGAGAGAGAGAGAGAGAGAGAGAGAGAGAGAGAGAGAGAGAGAGAGAGAGAGAGAGAGAGAGATAAAAGAAGCACTTGTGAATGAAGGGTGAGGGGGGTGGGGTGAGGTAAGGAGAGTAAGGGGTTAGGATATTAGGATGGCGGTAAAGGGATGAGGAGGGTAAGGATGGGGGTAAATATAATAGAACTCTGTCAAATCTAACACACACACACACACACACACACACACACACACACACACACACACATACACATACACACACACAATAATCCGGCCATCCCTTTATTACAACCTTTGAGAATGAAGGAATTTCAAGATACGAGGAATGAGATTTTGAGATCAGAAAGTAACAGGTAATGAGATCTCAGGTAAAAGGTCTTCTGAGGACACCTGTTTCAACCCCAAGGACTAAAACTACCACAGGTGTTTCAATCCCACCAACTACCATCTACAAACACAGGTAAAAACCAATTAAACAAAAATACTATCTGTACTCTGGGTGATCGATGAATTCCAGAACGAACACTGTGACTCCTGTTGTCTCGGTAGGGTTGTCAAAATCCTTCGTCCGTTGTGTCATATTTTTTCAACACAATTTTGGATAGATATTTTTTTTGGAGTGATTGTACAGGATGTTATTTTGTTGTTATTGAAGCCATAAGTTTATAATTATGACGTGTTGGTGATGTGATTGATGTCCTACTTGTATCTATATAAAACTGTGTAACTATCGTCGTATTTAAAGCTATGTAACTGGTATGATATGCTATGTAACTAATATGATATGCTATGTAACTGGTATGATATGCTATGTAACTAATATGATATGCTATGTAACTAATATGATATGCTATGTAACTAATATGATATGCTATGTAACTGGTATGATATGCTATGTAACTAATATGATATGCTATGTAACTAATATGATATGCTATGTAACTGGTATGATATGCTATGTAACTAATATGATATGCTATGTAACTGGTATATGCTATGTAACTGGTATGATATGCTATGTAACTAATATGATATGCAATAGAATGACACTTTGATGTCTACAGAGCCACACAAAATCCACAAAATATTGAAAATAAAACTTTGTGAGTTCTTTATTAGTATATATATTTTTTTTACTTTTTTTTCATGATAAAAATTTAAATTATGGAAGATTATTCGTAATCGGCCGGTAAATCGTCATGGAATTGAATTTGTCCGAATATATGGAGGTATGACCGGATATATACTGTACACCGTATGTATTTTTGGACTATACACTATTACTGTATATACCCGGATATACACTCCAATAGGATACGACAAAATATACAACTATATACAAATGATGCCTCTCTCTCACTCTCTCTCTCTCTGGTCAACACTCACTTATTCTCTGTGCGTTGAACACAGAGAGAGAGAGAGTGTGTGTGTGTGTGTGCTGGAGAGAGAAAGAGAGAAAGAGAGAGAGAGACACTACTTGAAATGCCTCCCCCAAGAAGCCATTCCCAGTATTTTATCACGTCGTCTCATACAGTATTTGGCCTGTAAGCTCTTCTCTGCCAGTGGTCCCTCTATGATCTCTCTCTCTCTCCCAACCCCCGTTTTCTACACCAATGCACCCCCCTTCCCCCGTTTTCTACACCAATGCACCTCCCTTCCCCCGTTTTCTACACCAATGCACCTCCCAACCCCCGTTTTCTACACCAATGCACCCCCCTTCCCCCGTTTTCTACACCAATGCACCTCCCTTCCCCCGTTTTCTACACCAATGCACCTCCCAACCCCCGTTTTCTACACCAATGCACCTCCCTTCCCCCGTTTTCTATATCACTACAAAGAGAAATACATTCATGACGTCACAGGCGCCATTTTTTATCCACCCAGTATTATAGAAAAACAAAACAACAACATGGAAATTTATCTACGATCCTCGGTGTTAAATTAAGCTCCATATCACATAACGTTCTGTCTATGTGGCTATGTGTTTACTGTATATGAGGCCGGCTGGTGGACCGTCACTGTCATGTGTTTGTGTCAAGGCTGTCATGTCATGTTTGTTGTTTGTTTAAGTGTGTTTTGTGGTGTGTGTTTTTTTTTCTTCGTTATCATTGTTGTTATTGTTCATTCTTGTGATAATATTGTATGTATGAATTCGTTTATACTGTACATACATACATACATACATATAAATATTACACTAATACGTACATCAATACATTACACACACACACACACACACACACTCACACTCACACACACACACACACACACATACACACACACACACACACACACACACACACACATACACACACACACACACACACACACTCACACACACACACCACTCACACACACACACACACACACACACACACACACACACACACACACACACACACACACACACACACACACACGGGTATTAACTGGTTGTCAACATTTATCGAGCATTAGAGTGATAAATTAACACATATTACTCTGTTTATTTATTGTGCTCCAGTGATGGTAATTATTGTATTAACTGGGTCACTGTTTACACTTGTGTATGATTGTATGTCAAGTGGACCCCTTTCCTGATGGGCCCTCCTGTCCTAGTGGGGCCCCTTGTCCTAGTGGGGGCCCTTTTCCGAGTGGGGCCCCTGTTCTATTGGGGCCCCTTGTCCTAGTGGGGCCCCTGTCCTAGTGGGGCCCTTGTCCTAGTGGGGCACCTTGTCCTAGTGGGGTCCTTGTCCTAGTGGGGCCCCTTGTCCTAGTGGGGGCCCTTGTCCTAGTGGCTCTCAACATTAATGGGGGTGGCCAATTAGAAATGGGTCTAAACAGTACTGGAGACTGATAGGATTAGGCCTATTGCAACTTACAGTAGGTCTATAAGGACCCATTAGGAACTAGCATTTAATAGGCTTGGAACCAAATAAGATTACAGGTCCTATTGGAATATGGGGCCTATGGGATCTGCAGGCCCCTCCCTTCACCTCTTCCCTCCCATTCCCGGCTTTTACGTCTCTCTCTCTTTTTCCCTCCATTTTCTCTCATTCTCTCCCCCGGCACACACACACACACACACACACTACTCTATGCTCTGTGTGTGTGTGTGTGTGTGTGTGTGTGTGTGTGTGTGTGTGTGTGTGTGTGTGTGTGTGTGTGTATATCATGTAATCCCTAATTTAACCAACATAACCATCCAAACAGCTATCGTTCCCATTATTCAGACAACCTCACCTATGCACCTAATAGATTCTAATGGGTTTTAATGGCACTGTCACACACCCCTACCTATCCTCCTCAACCCCCCCACCCACCCCACCCTCCCTATAGAACAATAACATAATAGGTACAATTCGACTCTAGAACGCCATTAAACCGTGGCCAAGAGCCGATGACGATAATGGTTTAGGAGGAAAGGAATACGATATATATATATATAATAAATGAATGTTTATATTGAGGCGTGTTGATCAATGTGAGAGTAACGAGGAGAGAATTCTGGCTCTGTTACAAATATAATACGAGTACACACCTACAGAAAGAAA